CCCCGAATACCTGCTGGCATTGTGGCAGGGAAACGTGTCCTACCACAGGGGGCCTAATAAGCTCTCCCTGCCAAAGAACCTGATAATTAGGCTGGAAAGACACCTGCAGGAGGCCTATGAGGAGTTCTCCCCGGGGGATCTCGCCTCTATCCCCGGACACATCGACCAGTTTTTGGGTTAGGTGCCCTTGGAGGGACAAAAGAGTGGAGCGTCTTGGGCAGTGTAATCATGAAGCGGACATTGTTGAATTTTCTTAAAATGGTTCGGACTATACATTGAAGCGGCCAAAGACACAGTAATCATGATACCCTTTGTTCAGATTCCCCTTTTTGTTGCACTTTCCTGTTTACATGTTTAGAAGCACTTTACCCATTGTTAATATTTCAAATCTTCCTGTTCTGTTATAAATAAAAGTTTACATACTTGAAAGCACTTTAGCTATTGTTAATATTTAAAATATGCAATTTCTGTTATAAATAAATGTTAAGATATTTAAAACACTTACTGCTTGATCCTTCCCCTGAACCTGTGTCTGGGGTAACGGCGGGGGACGGTTGGTAGGGGATCTCTGTGAGGGTGATGAAGAGCTCCTGGCTGTCGGGGAAATCAGCGGTGCCAGCGCTGTCGACTGCCTCGTCCTCCTCATCTCCTTCTTCATCTTCCCCGTCCGCTAACATGTCGGAGGAACCGGCCGCGGACAATATCCCATCCTCAGAGTCCACGGTCAGGGGTGGGGTAGTGGTGGCGGCTGCACCTAGGATGGAATGCAGTGCCTCGTAGAAACGGGATGTGTGGGGCTGGGATCCGGAGCGTCCGTTTGCCTCTTTGGTTTTTTGGTAGCCTTGTCTCAGCTCCTTGATTTTCACGCAGCACTGCGTTGCATCTCGGCTGTATCCTCTCTCTGCCATGGCTTTAGAGATCTTCTCGTAGATCTTTGCATTCCGTCTTTTGGAGCGCAGCTCGGCAAGCACGGACTCATCTCCCCACACAGCGATGAGATCCAAGACTTCCCGATCAGTCCATGCTGGGGCCCTCTTTCTAGTCTGGGATTGCACGGCCATCTCTGCTGGAGAGCTCTGCATCTTTGCCACTGCTGCTGAGCTCGCCACGGTGTCCAAACAGAAACTGCGATTCAAACTGCCCAGACAGGAAAAGGAATTCAAATTTTCCCGGGGTGTGGCTGGTCAGAGCATCCGAGCTCGGACTGCTGTCCAGAGCGTCAACAGAGTGTTGCACTGTGGGATAGCTCCCGGAGCTATTAGCGTCGATTTCCATCCACACCTAGCCTAATTCGATATGGCCATTTCGAATTTAGCGCTACTCCTCTCGTTGGGGAGGATTACAGAAATCGATTTAAAGAGAGCTCTATGTCGAACTAAATAGCCTCGTGGTGTGGACGGGTGCAGGGTTAATTCGATTTAACGGTGCTAAATTCGACATAAACGCCTAGTGTAGACCAGGCCTAAATGTCCACTGCCATTTTAAATCTTGCTAAATTCTTGGCCACAACTGCATTCCGTGGCAGTAAGTTCCACAGTCTAGTTATGTTGTGTGTGAAAAAGTATGACCTTTTATCAGTTTTCAATTTGCCATCTTTTAATTTCATTGATTGTCTCCTTGTTCTTGTGTTTATAAAAAAAAGAGAACGGAATAGAAGAGAACAGAAGCTCTTACCTTATAATATATAAATTGGTATAAAGATGGTAGAAGCTTCTGTTTTCTTTTAAAAAAAAATATATATATATATACACATACACTTTTGATCATGTCCCCTCTTATTCATCTCCTTTTAAGGTAAACAATCCTAATCTTTTCATTCTCTCTTCATATGAGAGCTTTTCCATGCCCTTAATGATTCTTATTGCCTTTCTCTGAATGAACCACCTCTAATTTTACAGCATCTTTTTTGAGATGGTGACCATGTTTCCCAACTGCAAAGGATTTATGACCAGCATGATCATACCATAATGCACAAGGACTGCTTGAAGATTTTTTGGGGGGGGAGGGGTTAACAAGCTGGCTCTTCATAACTCTGCTCCTCCCTACATGTACACTCTTGTCTCTTATCATTTTATCCTTTCCTCCTGACCAATGCTGCCAGCCTTGACTCCTTGTTGCTCTTATCTTTGTGCGTTCTTCCACAATGTCTGTCTGCAGGGAACCTCCTCCCTGAATGATCCATAAGGATTCTTTTCCATCTTCCAAGTTCTCCTCCAGATACACTGCTACCTTGATGCTACAAGAAAATATGAAATTAATAGTTCTAGGTAGATATTTAAAGAAAATAAATTAACTATTTTTGTCCCTCTCCTCCATCCTTCATTAGATGCCCCTCTCTCCTCTGATTGTGAATTCTTATTAGTCTTATGATGTGTTTAGACAGGGCCTAGCTGATTGTCAGGGCTTCCACACCACAATCAACGCATAATTCTTCTAATAATTCATTTAAGATGTGTGTGCTCCCAGTCTCTTACTGCCGAAGAAGTAGAGCCCAGCTTTTTGTGCTGGGGTCAGTACATACTTGCCTGTATTTAGAAGAGCTTTCCAAAGGACAATTGCCCAAATAAGCTGGGGTTCTGGGATGGCTGCTACATCCCCAGCCACTGGAGAATTGTTGGCATTCTGTTGAGATTTAGGGCTTGTATAATACCTTACACACTAACTATTTTATTGTTGTTACTACTCTGGAAAGTAGGTGGTGGTATCAGATGTGGAAACTGAGGCACAGAGAGGTGAAAGCCAAATCTGAGTGTATAAAGTTAGGCACCTAAATTCATATTTAGGCATCTAACTATAAGAGGCTTGATTTTATTTTTCAGTAGGGCTTAGCACCTGCAACTCCTCTTGAAGTAAACTAGAGTTGTGGGTCCTTTGCACCTCTGGACTTAAGTGTGTAAAGTTTGAAATCTTGCCCTGTGGGACTTGATAAAGACTGCAAAAGGAGTCTGTGTCAGCCTAGGGTTCCACTTCTTTTACAGCAAGATGCTAGGGCAGCAATACTGTTGCTTGTGTTCCATTAGCACTCTAGAGTGCAAGTGAAGGTGTGATTGTAGCTAGCACAGGTAACAGTGGCAGTGCAGACGTGGCTTCAGATAGGACTAACAACCAGAATCAAGCCCTCAATGAGCCTGGATCCATACTCTGGTTACTAGCCTATGACACTCTGTCTACACTGCTATTATTGTGTAATAAATGGAAACAGAACAGGTTACACATATAAAATGCTATCCTAGGTCTACACTTATCAATGTTTAATAAAGTAGATTTTCTCCAAGGATTCAGTCTTTGATAGAGCTACTGGTTTTCGGTCAACACCAGGATCAAATAGTCATGAATGTCTCACACCATTCAAGGGGTTTCCTCAGTGAATGGATGTTCTTTTTGGTCTTCTACTTGTATCTCCAGAGTTCATTATCTTTGCCTCTATCAAGGATAACCCCCAGTGGTTCAGTGTTTGGTATCTTCCCATCCCGTTTACTGCATATGCAGATTTGGCTTACAATGTGTAATTTACATCTGCCTTATCACAGACTTTTTAGGAACATACTTCCAGTACATGTACATAACTCTTTACATGGTAGCAATAAATACATCTTGCAAGGATTATGAGAATCTGTATGACATAGGCTTTTATTAGATACCTGCATGATATTCTTTATGGATACATCCTAGGAAAGCAATGTGTTAGCTGCAGTGAGCTTGTCAGGCATGATAGGAGTTGCTGACATAGAATAGTGAACCTTTTGCCAGCTGCATCAATGGGTCTCTGTGTCACAACACTCCCTTATCTGTGTAAGTTGGCATGGGGCTTCCCAAGAGTCAAGGGGCAGTTAGATTCCCAGGCTCTCAAAGGAGAGCCTGAAGGGGCTGTGAAAGGACGTGTGATCTTTAGGAAAAATCAGTGACAAGCTTTCAGTCCTAGCGACTGGTTTGCACTAGCTACCTTTTCAGTGAGATCTCTGCAAAGAAAAGGGCTAGGTGCATTTAAAAAGATGCGTTTCTCCTTTGGCTTTCTCTGTTTCTCCAACTTAAGGGAGGCCCTGGCTATAGATTTTTGCAGGCCCCCAAAGGCCGCCGGTGAGAGCAAGGTGTTGAGCCTGCCAACATCAAAGCCCTGGCTACTGCTACTGCGGCAGCTGACATAGCAAGATTAGGCTGCACCTGTCGGCTAGCTTCAGTCCCTGCATGCAAACCTCTGGCCGCAAATCCCGTGGGGTCCATAGCACCCCTCTCAGAAAACACCCAGCCACCTCTTCGCGCCCCCTCCGCTCTGTCAGTCTCCCCGCCCCGGTACCTCCATTGCCTCTGCTCCCCAACTTTCCTCCATCTCCCCCAGTCATCCCCCGGCCTCAGCCTCCCCCAGCTGGGCGCAGGGCTGCGGCTCCCGTCCTCGCTTGCTCCTGGGCAGCAGCCTCTGCCCCTGCGGGCGGGAGCCCGCCCATGCCTACAGCAGCGGCCCGCGGTGATGGGGCGCGGTGCGTGTATCAGCGCTGGCCGCGGGCTCGGGCCGCGGGGATTGGTCGGCGGCAGAGCTGGGCTGCCCGTGCACTGACCCAGCGCGCGGCTCCTCCTCCGTGTAGCGGCGCTGAGCCCGGAGCTGCGGCGGCGGGCAGAGAGGAGCGGGCGGCAGGCGGGGTTACAGCGAGGGCAGGCGGGCTCGCTGCGCGGCGCTGCCCCCTCCCCTTCTCCGGGCTGAGGCGGCGAGAGCTCCCCCCTTCCTGTCCCAGCCTCCTGCGGCCGCCAGCGCCGCCGCTGCCAGCCGGGGACAGGAGAGAGAAGAGCGGGGCAGAGCCGCCGGTTGCTGGCTCTATGCTGCCCGCCCCGGCGCTAGGAGCCCGCCCCGGGGGGATGCTGGTGCTGGGATTGCTGCTGGGATAACCCCCGCCGCCCTCCTCCGCCTGCTGCTGCCCGGTCCGGACGGAGGATGCTGCCCGGGTCGCGGGGGACTCTGACCAGGGGACCAGCGGCGGCGTCCTCTCCTCCGGCTCCGAGCGCTCGTGCTGCCCCTGGAGCAGCCGCCTCCCCCGGGGAGCGATGACTTCAAAGCACCAGGCGGACTGGATCCCGTACAGGTAGGGAAGGCGCCTCCCGCCCTCCAGGCTGGTCCTGGTTCCTGGCAGGGAGCAAGGGCAGCCCGGGCACGACGGAGTGTGGGGTGGGCGGCTCGCCCTTGGGCGCCTGCAAAGTTTTTAGGGAGGGGGTAAGGGGGGGGCTCCCCTTGCTGGGCGGGGGGAGCAGCTCACCCCCCCTTGTTTTGGTTTTGCTCCAGTTTGGGGCTGAGCGCGCCCCTTTGTGTGGGGAAGGGCTCCCAGGGTGGTGGTCCTGAGCTGTGTTATTTCTCTGGAGGCCAGAGAGCCCATTGTTGTTCTGTTGGGGGAGTTCAACAGGCACCTCGCCTTTGCTATCCTGCTTTTCATGACTGGAACTGAAGTCGGCTGGATCGCTCCTTTTTTTTTTTTTTAACAGGCCAGAGAGATGTGGGGTACCTCAGGTTTCCTATAGGAAGCCTGGATACTTTCCTGCTTTTGTCTCCCAGGTAAAAGTGGGGGCACATCACCAAGTTATTGCCTTTTTTCTCCCTGCTCCCCAGTCCTCTCAGATATAAATGGGCTCCAGGAGATCACTGGTGTGAAAGTGAGCTGAGATGGGCCACCAGAGTAAGAGTCCAAATTTGGGGCCCAATCCTGCTCCCACGGAAGTTAATGATAGCTTTACCTCTGACTTCTGTAAGAGCATGTTTAGGCCCATTGCCTGTGATCAATGAACCTCTGGCTGTTTTGTCTGAGGGGTGAAAACATTATCTAATATCTATTCTTGGCAGTTGCGAAACCTACTTTTACTTTGCAGCTGAAAAGCTTTGTAACGGTTACACACGTGCAGTGTTCAGAGGCACCCAGGCTGTTTAGAGCAGCAACAAAAGCAGCGGATAAGCTTTTTGGAGTATCTTGGTGTTGATACAAAATCAGTTCCAAGGACCATTCCTGTTCTACTTTGTTTGTAGAATGAATTGCACCACGAGTTACGTGCTGCACTTGGGACTCATGTCTATTTGTAATTTCTTGCTGGATGAGGTTACTCTATTGAATAAAAGGGGCAGTCACTGGGGAAAGGAAAGGAGTTCGGAGGGTGTTGCTCAAACAGATTAGGCACCTGGCTGAGCATCTGTAGACTGAATCCCCAGCTGGTTTGTGTTGTAGGCATTGGTGGGTGACTTCTTTGTGGAAGAACAAAGTAACCTTTTGTATATGATGCCTCAAATAATTCCTTTCCTCTTGCCCATTCTGATACAGCATAGACACGTTATGGGCCATATAGGAGCCTGGCAGTCAGTATTAGCTGCCCTCCCTGCTGCAGCTGCCATGGAGAAGAGCTGTGATTGCCATGGCAGCGCCAGCTATCGCTCTCTGTCATTGGTTCCTTGGTTGCCATAAGCTACCAAAGTCTCTGTCTGCTGGCTCTCTTTCTGGAGAGGTGTGTGCGTCAAAAGTGTAGTGGGCAGCACCTGTCACTCTAGAATGGATCCCCTTATCCCTGTTCGGGTGGAGAGGAGGAAGGGCTGCAAGACAGCCTGCAGATTGCAATCAGGGCTTGTGGGACAGCTGCACTTTAGGGGCTCTGATCCTTGTTTGTGTCTAAACTGGCACTGTGGCTGAAGTCATTAAGAGTTTGGGTGCACAAGGGATACAGGATAAAGGTTTCAGAGAATTGGTGTAGACAAGCGGGAGCTGGGGGGGGGCTTTAGTCCTTCCCCAATGATAATTGCATTAATAAATAAATTAACTTCTATCCCACAGTTTCCTTATCTCACTTTATTAAAAGTGGGCAAATTTAGTTACGGTACAAAACTACTTATGAAAGTGATATTTAGCTGCTTTATTATTTTTAACAAAAACAACAAGGAGTCCGGTGGCAGCTTAAAGACTAACAGATTTATTTGGGCATAAGCATCTGAAGAAGTGGGTTTTTTACCCATGAAAGCTTATGCCCAAATAAATCTGTTAGTCTTTAAGGTGCCACCGGACTCCTCGTTGTTTTTGTGGATACAGACTAACACGGCTACCCCTATGATTATTTTTAACTTTACTCACTTCCAAAAAAAAAAAAAAGTTGCTTCTGCCCTGGCAATGGCTGCATTACAGATTGCTGATGTTGCATCTACAGGTTTATATTGTTGCCCTTATGTATTTGCCAGGTTTGGCTTTTGAATATTTTATTTTGTTTTATATTATCTGTTTCATGAGGTTTCCAGTTGCTTGTACAGTGCTCTGAACACCTTCTATTATTACTTATTTTTAAGAGTTTAATTTGCTTATCAGATTTCATTTAAAAGTGTTCTGTGTTTTAAATTGAAGGGTTGCAAAAAGAAAGTGTCTGAGAGTTTTATTTAATATAATGGCTTCATGTTATTAAATCATATTTCAGGGCTTTAGTTACTATACAATGAGTAGTTATTGGGTTATAAATGGAGACGTTTTAGTTTGAATAGGTATATTCAGAACATTGGTAGCACAACAAAACTATCTTATCCATGTTCCACCAGATTCTGTGTAAATAAAACAATTCTTTATATGCAAATAAAGTACTCAACAATTTTAGGAGGAAATCATAATTTTTTAAAAAGTTCTTTACAGAAGACATTTTAAAAACTAGTACAACTGTTTGAAAAGTATAGTAGGGAAACTGCTTTGCCCCAATATATGTTAACCTTTTTATATGAATTACAGCTATCCTAGTGGCTAGACATCATAGTGACAGATGCACTATAATTACAGAAGATGAATAAATCAGTCCCTAACATGGAGTAAAAATAAGGTGGTTAATGATGTAAATGAAAACTAATGTTTTTCTTTTGGGAGATCCATGAAGATTTTAGTCCTAATGAATATAAGTAGTTCAGAGATTCAGGAGTTTAAAAATGATTACACAGAATCTAAGAATACTGTCATTGACTCCTGAACTGTGCCTTCAAGGTGTGTATCAGAGCAGAGACAGAGCACAAAAGAAGATGGAATCCTGCCCCAAAAGCCACTAGCTAAGCCTATTATGTCATTTGGAGCCATGTAGTAAAGAACAGTGTTCCACCAAATCAGTTGTTCCATGGCTCTTCCCTGTTGCAGCTTGGCCGTTCGCCTTTTCTCACGCAATAGACGGGCCATGCTACAACTTTGCAGAAGAGCTGATGGTGGCTATAGAGAGGGAAACAAAGCACGATGTGTTGCTACATTTTCCTTCCACGCTGCTGTTTTGATCTCTTCTGTACTGCACAATTCATAGAAACATACTACCCTTGGCAGTGGTTCTTCATATTTGCCTCTTGTGGATATTTATCACAATCTGTCTGGTTTTATTTTTAATGCATGTTTTCTTTACTATTACAACTAGCAACTGCTAAAAAAATAATAAAGTAATCAAATTCCTTCTGCTGTGAAGTAAATGTTTTTGTTTAGATTTATGGTAATATTATTAATTCTGTCCTATGGAACTCGAGCTTTTTATTTTTCATTTGAGAAAGGGCTGGATTCTGAGTGATGGTAAGCACCGGCAAATCCCATTAAACTCGGTTGTGTTCAGCATCCCGGAAGATCCAGCCCAAAATATGTTTATCCAGCAAACTTGAATCTCTAAAGTGTGTTTTATTTCAGTAACTGAATTATATATGAAAAAGTGTTAGTAAATTAGGGCAAAACTTGCTCTTTTCAGAGATTTGCACATACACAGTAAGAGAGAACCCTAAAAATTGTGCACATAGACTATGTTCAGTTCTGTCTGAGGGAAAGATTTACATTGGCTGATCTGCTTGGAGATATGACTTCTTACCTCCTCCTCTTGTATGATGTCATGATTTCAGTGATTGTTAGCTTTTAAAGCTGAAAGGTCTGTTGCATACCTACTGTTGGCTGTCGTATCCCACCCATTCAATACAATGGGAAAAGAGCTTGGGGGAAAAGCGCAGGGACTGTTGGCATGTTGCAGTCCATAAAGACTTGTGTAACATAGCCTGAACTTCATTGACCTACATGCAGCATGGTACAAAAGCTGTAAGACCACTGCGGAATGAGAAAAGAAATTGTAACTTTAGTGTGGGCTCTAAAACAATGATATAAATCCTTCACTTATATTGCTTATCCTTGCAATCTGACTATGCCAGTATGTAGATGCATATCTGAATTTATTCAAGCTTAGAGTCACTTCCTTATAAAATGTCAGACTGCTCATCTGAGTATAATGGATACACTTTTCCTTTAAAATGGAAGGAGACAGGATGACTACTAAGCAATCCATGAGTGTCCGATGCTCATAATAGATTTTAGTACAATTGAGATATTGAAATTTTTTTGATCAGATTAACTAAAAATATGAGAGAATCCTTCCAGGATCAATGCTAGTTTTTGCTCCCCGAAATGGATGAAAATTCATATTATTTGTTGGGTAGAATTTATAGTATTTAACATTTTGCCCCAAATACTTTTTCTGTTCTAGTCTATTCTCTCTTTTGTAGCATTAACACTGATAGGCTGTGGCACTGGAGACCTGCAGTATCACAAATGTGTCACCTGTTCTCTCTAGTCTAATGCAATCTAATATAGATTAGAGCTGTAAAATAAAAAAAAATGCTTCAATGAGACTACTCACATAAAGTCAAGCATGTGAGTGAGTCTTTATAGGATTGGGGCCATAGGTGAGGCCATAGATAGTTAATAAAAAAAACGTGGTTCTGGCCCTCATTATAAGGAAGCAAAAAGAGGTCTAGAGCCCCAGTTTAAAAAAAAAAATGTGTTGATCATCTGCAAAAATTGGTTCATTCCAATTTTCAGTAAGCTACATCTTCCTTAGGAAATGTTTTTTTTTTCTCTGTGTTAAATATCTTGCTATAGTGTCGTTTGGCAGTTTTCACTGAAAAGTATTGACCAAGAACCACATTAATGTTGTGTAAGTAATGATAACATATGTCTAAATATTTTGATATCCAAAATGTCTGTTGGAGAATCTTGACAAACATATAGGATGCCTTAATTCATAAATGTAATTAGAGGCATTCAAAAACCTGGATCCAAATTTTGCATTGAGCCCA